GTTACACATACCCTGGTAACAGGGGTGTGTGTCACACCAGATGGGCATGGTGTGACCATACCCAAAAAGAATATGGTACGGGGCTGGACAGCCAGTAGTTATACATGTTATTAGACTTTACTATACATATTTAGGAAAATCTATGCATTAAAAATAAGGCGGTTTAGCCGCAGATAAAAATAAACAAAGGCATTTTCTGAATTTAAACGGAAGAGTTAATTAGCCTCGGGTTCAGGTTGTAATTACTCTTGGAGTAAGCGGATTGCGATCCGCTAAACTCTAACTTGTTCTAAGTATAGAGCAAATGGTCGGTGACCTAGCTTACGCTTCCTCCAAGCTCAAAGCTACGGCAGCCCCGCTGCACACCCTCTGTTCGTTTGGGTCACCTATCCTACAAGATTTTACAAAATTTATTCATATGAAAAACTGTCACGATATGGTGATGAGGATTTTGCCACGCGTGTTATTTCCGGATTTCCGGATAGGGCAATGCGTACTTGGTTATCGGAGCCAAAGCACGCCAATCGCCCTTAACAAGAGAACAGTGCGGTGTCATCGACACTTCCTTTAGTGCGAAGCACAAAGTGGGTTTAGCGGAAGTCGGCGCCAACTTTCTGCGCCAGAAAGGTTTACGACAAGTGGTGAATTGTGCATGCTTGTGATAGACTTATTCAACTTTGATTCTGGCACAACCGCATATTTCTAGAAAGATTAAGCTTCAGAATAGCAGCACTTTGTCCAGTCACCTCGACCTGGTGAATTAATTATAATCAATTACTGATGAGAGATAGTAACTATTAATTCACCGCCGTGAGCACGTTGAGCACAATGCTCTGGGAGTGACTCGTTATCCCACACAAGCTGTCTAATGTACCAGCGACGTTTAACAACTTGATGAGATAGTTTTTCAGGCCACATCGTGACTCGACATATATATTTCGACAAAGTAGCCTTCCACAGTCGTGCAAGACATGGCCCCTCACTAATCTCTTCAAATATGATGCAAAATGACGCTGCGTTGTGACGGTAGAGACTATGTTAGGGTTGCGACAGAAACCTAACGTGAGTTCCGATGCTGAGTATTATAACCCAGATCGCCATTCCACGTTGTCTGTGACGTTTCAATATTTACATTAGACCGCGCTTTTTTGAGTAGATACCAATGTACATGAACGCGTAATTGCGAGATCAAGTCTTGAACGAAAAAATTTGCAGAAAAACACGACCCTGATCGTTACAAAGAGCTATTTTGGATGCAGTATGCCCTCGTCAAATTCAGGGTGTACCTGCTTCACTCAAAATTGTTTGTGATTTATACGAATCATGCGTCGTGGCGCACAGCGACGTCGTCGCCACGTCTCTCACAGAAGCCTACTATTACTAGAAATACGACAACTTGCTCGGTTTGTATCAGTGAGTAAGCAGATAGGTGCACACAAATTAAAAATATTAATGATATACATTCTACCCGCGCAACGCGGCACCGTTGGTACTCCAACCAAACGGATATTATTTCGGTAGCCCGAAAGGCTCGCCGGGTAGTAATGATATTGTGATCTTTGTGAAACGTCCAATCAAGATGGCTCATCTCGCTGCTGTCAGCGGCAATATGACCAGTGAAGACGCAGCCAATCCTTTCCACGAGAAAGCCTTTTGTCAACCTGGCTGGCCGGCATACATTCTGTAGAACAGAGAATTGCATTTTTCCAGTGAAATTTCGGCAGATATTTTTGGACTCGGCACCAGATTGAATATGTCAATCTCGAGCCATCCGCACACGTTCCAACTAGAATCACTTTGCTTTGAAGAAAAAACGTCTATGAAATCCCACTACTCATTATAAAGGCTCATGAACGCGTTACACAATATTTGGCTCCAGGGTCCAAGTTAACTATGGGGTAGCCTCTCGAATTTCAATGGTTATATTTGCTCAGCAAAAGACGAAACGAATCCTAGAGCATTTCTGTTTCTCTCTGTTCACTAAGTGCCCTCAAATTGGGAACCGTGTCTCTTCAGAAATAACTCCGGACGTTTAAGTGGGCCACCCCATTCTTATTGAGCAACACCGGCGGAAATCAAACTTCTCGCAACCGGAATTTGTGTGCTCTCCCGGTTTAGTTCCCTCTCCGAAATTCAAAATGGGGTTCGAAGCTGCTATGTACCGGATGTCGTCTCGCTCACTAAAATTGTTAATTTTGCCACCGCACTGCCTGGTCTGTGGTATCCAGAACAGTATCGCTACATTGAAGCAAAGTGTTACAATGCTAATTGTGATAATAGAGACATCAACAGAGCTATTCACGTTCGGCTCGCTTGAAAAATGAGGGGTCGCGGAATAAATTTAATATGCCCTGGGTGCATTTGCATTTGTCTTGAAGTTATCAGTGTCTAACTAAAACTCTTTTTCTCTTCGATCATGAATGGTTGAATGTACCGCAGTATGAGCCACAAACACTGCATACCTAGATTGTGTATTGCATACAGCAAAATATTTGCAACAAGTCGTATGTGTTTTGCTTATGTCTCGCTTCAAAACCATAACGGTGCGAATCCTGCGCATGACGCTCAATCACATCGAGGCGAAGCCAATATGTTTACAACGAAAAGTAGCCAAGCTGATACTCGCAGGTCAAATGTGATCAACAGCTTCAGCCCTTTTCCACTATAACAGAATCGCTCCGTGGTGGTTTCAAGGTACTCTTAATTCCACAAAATATTTTATTCAAAAAGAGCAAAACCTGGAGCGGCATGTTGTTTGTTACTCACCGCAAGCTCAGCGAGTGGGAGTAAATTGCGACCGCACCGCGGTTTCTTGCGCAAGTGCTTCAGTGGATAACTTTAATGCGCAACTAATCTGACAATGACTAGGTCTGTTTACTTAGCGTCAACTACTTTCTGCATCCGATAGGCTAAGCTGTATACAGACCCCATCCCCAATTCGATAAGAATTTTTGCAGAACATTATGACAAGAAAGCTTCTGCACAGCACTCTTGACTCAGTGGATTGGTACTCATGAGAGTCAGTGTCTTGCCGTTTCTCTTTTCCGGATTCCGGCCGGTTGGAATTATCCCTTATGGACAGCTGCAGGAACTGGAGTATTTTTTGTGGATCTCCGTTCGCAACTATATTACAATTGATTTAGCTGAGATTGTATTGGGAGACCCGAAAAGGGACCGTCGTCTCATCAGCAAAGACTGCGATAAACGTTTGAAAATTCTTGTCAGCAGATACTCTCCGAACACTGCCACCGCTGCCTTTTAAGCTTTACTCAGAGCCTCAACTGATATCGCAGAAGCGGCTTCATGATTCATCAAGGCTTAACAAGGAGAGTATTGAGTAGTACCGAAGCATTTTTCGGCATCATGTCGATCTAAGCCTTGCGGCATCCCCGCGAAGCTATACCAAGGATCGTATCCCACCAGGTGCGCGATCAGACATAATTTCACGCTGTCAAGACGCTCAGACGTTACATTAAGGTTTAAAGTAGCCTCAACACTTAAGCAGGTGTCCCCACTGCAAGACATATAGATATGGTATCAACTTCAATGCTGATGCGAGCGGTCTACAGCTTTCGGCAGTGTATCCTACTTCTATCAGTACTCTTCGTAGCCTTACAAAGTCTGGAACGCTGAAATTATTCACAATAATTATTTGCACAAAGCGAATTACGAGCTTAAGTGTCAAATCACATGCGTTTCTAGCACTTCCAGACGTGCTACAGCGATGTTAACAATCAATGGCACTGGGCTGTGAAATTTTCTCTCTTTAATAGTAGTCTCGGGTTCACTAACCGCGATTTCTACGCAAAGCACTTTAACACCAGCAGTCACACTGCACCCTACCTGGACTCGACGTTACCCCGCGAGTGGTTTGCTGAACGAAATTGTGTGAGAATTTGATCTCGTACCGCTCAAATTGTGGGCAGAAAAAGCATCACAGCGCGATTAATTTCTACTAGCACAGATGAAACATCTGCCAGTACCGCAAAACCGGTCGGCAGCCAAATAATCGCTTTTACTTCTCAGTATTGCTAGGTTCATCGTCACTAGAACTCTCTATAAAGGTTCTACTTTCGGTACACCCCTCTGACCTGGCGGCAGGATTATAGTGTGTTTTTAATCAGACTGCGTGTTTCAAAGGATGTAAGAATGTCACGTTTTGCGCCGCACTTGGACAGACCAAAAATAGTATGATTTAACGAAATAATAGCCAATTAACTTTGTTTTAATTTCTGACATATTCCTCCCTCAATGGAAAGCACTGCGCTCAAAAAGCTCCAGGCGACATGCACGGCGCTTAAAGACGAGATGACGGCGTTGTATGATCAACGTGGATCGCGACATTGTGATGAATCATATATCAAGAAACGACGTTGGAATCTTTTGCTTCATTTATGTGCGATGAAAAGTGGTCTGCGCGATACATTCTTAGAGTCGGACGCTCGTCGTACACGCGTACAAGAGCAAAAGAATCTAGCGGAAACGCATCAATTGCAACTACAAAATTTACTGTATGAAAAAGACCATTTGTTACGCGAAATTCAAAGTTGTCGAGGATTTAGTACCAAGGAATTAGATAAGATTGATTTTGTGGATGGACCAATTCCTATCCAAGTTGACGCTGATGTGCATCGGCAGCATCTAAATCAACTCACTCAAGAGTTGAATGCTCGTAAACGTTTGCAAGCTGAGCTCAAGGAGATTAAAGCTAAGATTGCGGTGATAAATAATGTCATAGAAACAAAACAGACATTCTTGGATGAATTACCTCATCATTTAGCGGGTATCGAAGCTGCTACCATGGGATTACAAGAGTATATGGGTCAAAATATTACAGTTCAACGAAATGAACAACAGGTAGCAGGGACAGAATTACCAACGCCACTTTATGCGCTATATTGTGAGCTAGAAGCATATCAGATGGCAAGTGGAGAAGCAGGCAAGCAATTACGTCTCGAAATCGTCGACTCCATAGGGATCAAGTACAGCACTTTGTCTCGAAAACGTGGATTTCCTTCTGCTCTAGAGCGACAGAACGTTTCAGCTGCTGAAAAGCGACTTAAGGCATCGTCTCGCTCACCATCGATCAGCGTGACGGTCGAGACTCCACCACATAATCGTGCGCCGTCGCGATCGCCATCATCAAAACGGAAAATTGACTGCTCAACTCCAGAGCCAGAAATTGGAGAGATTGTTGTACCTCCCACTGCTGAAAAGCTGCTGGAATTGCGTCCTCATGAAGACGAGACAAAAGAAGAAAGAAGTTTGCTTAAGCACTTGCACCAGCAACAGGATGATAACACTGATTCCAAATTATGTCGTGTACAAAACCTTTGGGAGCCACATGCAAAGGCACTGCAGCTGGTTGTTTCTATCACGACTCCATCGAGTACTGGCAACATATCTGCAACGTTTATTGTCATGTTCCAGTACTTTCCGGTGGCTAAGATGGTTACCGCTGAGATAGTTGAAACAGCTCCTGCTGGTCTGAATTTCGGCAGCCATCGACGTAATATTCTGATGTATTTATTTCCAGGCGACGATGGTCTGACGGTGCCTCAGCTGGTCGTGAACTATGCTTTTCAAGAAGACGACAAGGCGTGTATGGAGATTGAATACCCGATAAACGCAGCATGTCGTCCGTATTATTGGACGCAGTGGATTTGTGGTCTGAACCCTATGAAGCGCCCAGATCCGTCAATTTCGAATGCCGATCCTAGCGACGATCGACCGCCTCGTCGTCCAGAACCGTCGATCCGAAATGTCATGAATCAGCTCATTAATCGTTTTGTGGCGACCACAGTGCTTATGTCACATTTAGACCAATTGGCTAAAGTTTCAAGCAAGTCTATCGAGGATCACATATCGTTTGTACACCCACTTGCACAACATATCTTTCCACGCGAAATCCAGGCTCATTTAGAAGAGTGGATTGAAATTCCGACACCAAGTCAAGACCTCTTTCAATTATTTAAAGAAACCACAACTTTATTGAAGCGGCCTCGTGCGCAATGTCATCTTTCGACGACTGGCTGTCGCTACTTTCGTGCTGGTTTTCAGCATGGACATACGAAAGTGTCTGCGATTGTGGAGATATCGCCAGAATATCCAGTACGAGCTCCACGATTTCTTTTCCAGCCTCGTTTAACGATGAGTAACAAAGCTTTGGACAAGGATAGCCTTTTGGTATATGAAAATCAGCTGAAGGTGCTTTATATAATTGCTGCTTTATTGAGATTTAAGTATTGACCTTGTCATTGTTGAACACAGGAGCTTGAAATTGAGGTGAATGCGTATTACGACGAATTGATTCCTCAGGGTACTGAACACTATTTGCTATTTCATCAACTGCGTAAGATCGAAATGTGTTTTGACGCTCTGTGCAAAACTACAACTGATGGGAATGCTGAAGCTCGTGAACGTCGTGGCAAAGATCGTCGACACGCAATGGTGATGGATACTGAAGCAAATTGCTTGCGTCACAGATAAAAAAAGCAGACTAATCGAAGTTTTTCAATTTGATTCATCACGTGTTTATTCTACTTATTGGTCGCTACGAAGGAGTTTGTTTCTTTTTCGTAAGCTGAACAGTCTCTCGTTTAAGCACATGTAGAAGTGTCTGAGAGCTTTCAAGAATCTTCATGTACGCAGCTTCCGTCTCTTGAATTGTACGATCATATTCATTTCGAGCTTGTGTTTTTCTTGCTAATGCCTCGTTAATTTTATTTAATCGATCAGTTAAAATCGAAATATCTTTTTGGATCTTCATCTTCTCCTCTTCTTCTTTAAGCATAGCACGATTTACTTCTTCACGTTTCTCACGTAATTCCTCAATACATTTCACAAGCTCATTGTTGTAATTCTGTAGTGTTGCACCTTGTTGAGCCATGACGAAGGTTGTAGAGATCAAGAGAATTACAACCGTCGCCTCCGTTACAAAAAAATATTTACTTTCTTTAAAATTTTGTCGAAAAAAATTGTAAATTATTGTAGTGTATATTATTGTTGGTGGTGTAACAATATATGGGTGAACAAGACAAGTTGTTTACAGGTTTGTGTATCTCTTCTACAGGACTAGAGCTAGACGTCAAGGTAGTTACCTTCGACAGTGTATTCGACACAATGTTTTAGACATAACGACTCACCTTTAACTTGTCTAACTACCACATTTAAATAGCAACAAGTGCGCAAGATCATTGTATCCTGTGGCGGTCGTTTTGACGATGATTTAGATCCAAAGACCACGACACATTTAATTGCGAAAGCCGTAGGCTCTTTAAAATACCGTGTACGTTCTTGTAAGACATTAAATTGTTCGATTTTATCAAGAGAATGTTTCGTATAGGTAGCAGTATCTAATTCACTTCGAATCGCGTCGCCTCGTTGGGTATTTGAAAGCTTTCGAGCTCAAAAATTATTAAATGTTCAAAGTTTTAAGCTTCAATTGCTTGAAGGTCTTCGTGTCTGTACGACAGGATTGACAGTGGAGGAAAAGGAGTCAGTATCACGGCTAGTCACAACCAATGGAGGTCAGTATGATGACATATTGGAAACGGGTATGACCAATATTCTGATAGCACGACACCCAGAAGGAGCTAAATACAATGCTGCAGTCGCGACAAATATTCCAATAGTGCATCTTGGTTGGTTATATGCTTGTTTAGAAAGACAATTATTCGTACAAGAAGACGAGTTTACTCTTTGTCTAGAAACGAAGGACTCAAAGTTACTTCCGACAAATATTGCATCGACTCAACTGAAGGAGACACAGATGTTAGTATCTAATTTATCAGCGATTGTGAAAAAATCACGTCAGAAAGAAGGTTGTGCGAATAGTAACGAAGATTGGATGGATCTATTTGACGGATGTGTGGTCTACTTTCTCGGATTTTCTTCACGATTCCACACTTTATTACAGCGTCTCATTCGAACTGGTATGGGAACCATTTATCATCAAATGGTAGCTTATCACGTTACTCACGTCGTAGTTAGTGCATCATTAAGCGATAAAAATACGCTGGTGGCGCTTCAAGAGCGTGTGATTGCTGCAAATGTAGGAAATGCAGTGCATTTTGTCTCAGCTAATTGGGTCATTGATTCTGTCAAGTGTTTAGACTTACAACCGGAAGAACTTTACCCAATAGAGTTTGACGTAAATGTTCCAAAGACAAGTCCAGACGCTACAAGTCACTCTTTGAACCCAAGAGAAAATTCTGTTGTTATTGAACGAAATTTTGCAGATTGTAATGAAGAAACGAACAGGAAATTCAATGCTTCATCTGAAAATGCATCATGTAATGTCGATGAAGCTGATGCGATGGAGAATTCTAAAAAGAACAAGAAAAGTCGCGGTATTTTTTCAGGATATTCTTTCTTACTTTTGTGTCGAGATCCAGAAGACAAGTATTTGATTGAACCAATGGTAATGAAAATTCGAGATAGTGGTGATGCCGAAGCTTTTGCTCTTTCTGCATTGGATTTTGTACGTTTGGATCCAGAACACTTTTCTTTTATCACACATGCTGTGATTTGTACTGGTGCTATAATGAACGAACCTGAAGCTTTGGAGATGCAAGAGCGTATTCATCAGATTCAACGTCAAGAACATTTTAATCAAGCAGACAATAAAGCCGACGATAATCGAAAAACGCCACGACGAAGGATGTTGCAATTTGTATCGGATTTATGGCTCACTTGCTCACTTGCTGCAAAGACAAAGCTGTCCTTTTCTTCTCATGAGCTCTTTGAAGTCAGTGCGAATCGACCACGTGCTCTGTTCACGTGTCCAGTTCCAATTCCCGGCTTTCATGACGTCATCGCGTCAACTTCAGTTTATCTAGATGTGGAACAACTTGTGGTGATTCAATTGCTGGAAATAGCAGGTGCTCAAGTGACAAGAAAATTGAGTACTCGGAACACGCATCTTATCTGTCGGAAAGCAATTGGAATGAAATTTACAAAGGCTTCCGAATGGGGTATTCATGTGGTGAAAGCACGCTGGATTGTTGACAGTTTGCTTCAAGGTAAGCGGCTGAATGAAAACAATCCAAACTATCAAGTTGTTGAAGAAGAGGAAGATCATTTGTTTTCACATGCTGCAAATAAAGACAATGAATTGTCACAGTCTTCTCCATGCTTATGAAGTTACAACTTGGCAACTAGAAGCTAAACAAGGTTCGATTTTTACGTGTAAACAGCATGTGTTTACTTACAATCAAGCCATGCTGACAAAGGCGACGGAAAATTGAATTACTTAGAATGCATCGATGCACATTGTAGGAAAGATTGGCCTCATTATGATATCGTGACGTGTAAGTGATCATAGTCGCTATTGTGCTTACACATGGACTCGTTTCTTGTGGAGATGAAGGAAAAGCTTGTGATTGTGAATTCTTTTGCTGTCGGCAAAGCAATGCAGTACCCATTGAATCAGAGTCAGTTCTAAACACTTTTCACGCATATTTTGGTTTTGAGATCAGTCCTGGATGCAATGACAAATATATGGAACAGACTACAAATAGATGGATGACTTATTATCAAAGTAATATACATAAGTTGATTTCTAAGCTGTTTGCCAAAGTCGCCCATCTTGACGGATGTGCCATTCCTGCATTGTAGAACGAACGGTCACAACATAGTTAGAGTATAATCCACGCGCTTCGAGGCTCTTCAGTTTCTGTGATCGAGGACTAAGCACAGGAGGAGGAGGTGGAACAAATGTATTTATCCCGTCAGTTGCTATCATCGAAAGGTTTTCATCGCTTTTATCCAAAGCGGGAGCGTAGCGTCGGCTATATTTCCGTCCGGTGACAACACTAGCGTTTTGACCTCCGATTGTTTTGTCATTCGTCTCATGAATATTAACGACACTCTGACAAGAGAGCACTGGAAAACTGAGGTCATACTGGCGAAGTAGATCGTGAAAAGAAAGCGTCTTCATCCAATCATCATTTTCGATACTCTGGGAGTTCGATAAATGTTTTGTATATAAAGTCTCCATGGTAGACGCATATCCACCGTGAAGTGCGTAGAAATCCCGTTGTTCGTAGTAAATTGCGTTTAAAATTCGTTCAATCGCCATCCGTTCGTTTAAAAATCCAGTCAATACACTCGCAAGTTCCAATTCTCCACCAACCAGCTCATTTTCACTGCTGAAAAAGACATATCCCCATTTTTCAGGCCGATGAATATCCATTACACCTGTTGGAGCCCATGCAATATATTCCGCAGATTTGTTCGGTACTTTTTGGTACTGCAATTGATTGATATCTTCATTCATAACTGTTTCAAGTTCATACTGAACACGCAAGAAATTGACTCGCCATATATCACCCGAAACAGTTCTGCTAGTTGTCACAGCTGATCTTGGTGTTTCTCCACATGTCGATGAAGGTCTGGGAGTCGCAATTGAGGGCTTCAAGTCGTGACGATTCTCCTTAAATCGAAATTTATTAAATTGCTGAAGTTCAGCAAGTGACCAACTCATTTCAATACACCAGCGTACACACTCGGTCTCAGGTGAATTAGTGACTCCATCTATAAACACAGCCGAACGCAAAGAGACCAAGTTGAATGGATTCTCAAGACTAGAACCATCTTTGTATGGTCGATGCAGTAGTAGCTCCCAAATTGTATTAAGACAATTTATCTCCAATTCACTAAATCAAAACATGATGAGTCAATAACATTGTTTTCATATTATTGAAAAGGGTTTCAAATTATTGGTAAGCTTACTAATAGTGGTGGTGACTGCCATCTGGATTGAAGAAAATTTCAAAATTATTTTCTTGATACAAACTGCTGTTCTTTTGAGTAAGAGTTCCCCATATTTTGGGTTCGACAAGCTCCGCCCCGACGTAAAGATAATCTTCATCGTACATCATTTTAAACCTGGTGAGGGGAGGGTGCTTGGACTTTTGAATTGATCCTTCAATGTTAACGAATGAATCAGACCATGGCACATGTGCCCACTCCTCCTTGTCAATACTATCTCGTGAGAAAAAGAAATTGAGTAATTGTAATTAATATAATTTACAAGGGATTATAGATACCATCCATCTAACTGCATAGGTTGATGGTGTTCGCCAGTTGTATCCAACTTGCGACGAAGACAGATGTATACAGGAGGACGCAACGTGTCCATATACGCCCAGTCCTTGCTCGATGTCATGACGTTAATATTGGGAAAATATATTTATCTTTAAAGCTTACAACGAAAGGTACTGTATAATTTGAATATCACCATAGGTTTTTTATAGTAAAGTAACATGTAAGTACGAGTGCGAAAAAAATCACCACTATTCGTTATACACACCAACGACCCACATGACACTGTGCGTCAAAGTACAAAATCTTGTCACTGCGCTGCATCTCAAAGACATCAACAAGCCAATGTCTAATAGCTATTTTGAATGAATAGAGGGTGGAAACGGACACCCTGACGACAAGAAGCGGCAATCGCCCAACTGGGAGAATGCGCGGGTGAGACATCCCCAGGAATGTGCTAGCCATGCGTCAAGGAAACACAACCGTCTCAAGCTGGGGCTCGATGACGATAGGTGCTGAAATCTTTGAGAGCAGTAAGTGAAGAAATATATTTTGATGTATTAATGAGCTTGAAACGCTCATATGATCAGCCACACCCCAGGAGCGCGTCGTGAAAGCGGTCTCCGAGCTAAGAGCTCGCGCACAAGAGAGGGAACTTAACAACGCTAAATTACCCGTAAAAAATGAGAACGTTATATCGAGATAAGCTGCAGGTGTCCGTACCGCGTGAAAACTGCGCGGTCAGACTTTCTGTCCACCCATCGAAGAAAGCAAGATTAGCGAAGTACGTCCGAGAAGTGCGAAGTCTCATCGTGCGACGGTAGCCGACCATCTCCGCGAGGTGGTAACAAGCATAATCTTTATTGGGGATCTTCGATCAGATCAGCTGACGCTAAGCGCTTTCGAATCATTCCGAACACTTTGTACGAAGCGTCATGTGTTGCAGTAAACCGCAGTTTACAGTTTTCGTGTCGTTAAGATACAGGAGGTCATATCTCCAAGTGCACGCTAGCCACGATGTAATCAGCCATGATGAGGCGGAAGCGAACGATCTCTTGGCTGTTAAGCGGTGATAGGTGTTTTATCAGAGTGGCTATTAGGCACCAACCCTTTTCTATCTCTATGTACAAGGTACGAAATGCAGAGCCCCCATGCAGGGGTTGCTCGGACCCCTTACAGAAAAGTGCTACGAAGTATACATCCTAATGAGAAGGAACTGATTTTAACTGTACCTATCGATATTGTGGTCACTGAAACCATGCCTGAAAGAAGCAATTATTTCTCAGAGCGGTATGACTTAAAACCAAGGTATGTCGAGTTTCGAATTTAACATATTGTGTTTTTCAAAGTCGTGACAAAGTCCAAATAGATTCAGAAGCTTCGTGAAACTACACTCGACCACGACTATCAAAATCAGCAGCCAGTATGCAATTAAATTGAATATGCCAAATATGTTTACAATATCAGGTGTCTCGCGACAGGGACATTAGTCAGCATTTTGAGGGGTGCTTGAGCCTTCCTGCGCACTTTGATGACTTTGATAGCATGTGACATTGTCTCAGCCAGTCTTCATTTTTGCTAGAATCGTGGATCGACTGGAAATCAAAAATTTTTCTATTTGCTTAGTGAAGACATCGACTCACCTCCGCTAGGAGCAGAAGGGCTATTTGCGAGAGAGCGAACTCTCGATAGAGTGGACATGGACAGTCTCAATGAACATGATCCTGTATAGGTTCGGTCTTTATGGACGGTCTCTATAACGAAGTAAAGGCGGTAATCTTGTGTACTTACACATCATAATTCTGATACAACTGTATTAAATCATATTGTGCATTAGTAAAGTTGCGGTCTGTGGTGTACATGGGTTGCTGGCCAAACGTCAGACAGTAAAGATAATTTATCGTTAGATAGGACAACACATTTTACTGCGTCTTGATCATAACAGAATTAAACCCAATAATATGTATTCCAGACATTACAGAGCTAGCTATTCAACTAGTTACGGTGGAGGCTTTTGGCTCCGCTCCTGGTTGAAAGCAATCAAGCTGAACTCTGTGTGTCTGTTAACGCGGACTATTTGAGCCGAAGATCCCTCTATGCAAAGTTCACGGTGACTTTATTGCACTTGGTAGCACTTGTATTCAATCCTACAAGCAAGTCGAAAAGGGCAGTAACTTCTGCAATAATGGAACACTGAATGATTGACAACGTGTCCCAGGGACAGTAAGATCATCCTAGCAAGCATATGTTTTTTTGACATTTCCGACGGGATCAGGAAATTGGTGGCCAAAGGGTCGGACAAGGTAATCGTTTGTCCGCAGGTACTGGCGAGACGCCTCCGGGAGAGCTCGAATTAATCCTCCACGATGGGACAGATGGCATCCACCATGAGATCGCTTTTGTTGTGCGTTCTGGTCTTGAGCTGCCAGTACGGAGATAATCGATTATTTTTGAATGAGAAAATTTGAGATGATCATTGATTTAGCCATGACCCAAACTACAGTGTGACGCGCTTGTGGTCTCCATGCTGGGATCCATGGACACTAACTTGTAGAATCGCAGTATAATAGGCGTCACCAAAATGAAAAAAAAATCATAGCAACAGCCGTTGTAGGCTTTTGCACAATACAACTAGGCGTATAAAGTGCATATTGAGCATTTGTCTTCTCGTTCAGGCTGGAAAATACTAGCGGACTATGTTCAGGCGTTTAATTCCATTATCATGGCAAATACACCAGACTCTCTTCCAACCTTGGTAGCTATTTCCATGCTAATTGCGTGTCTCCGAGTGCACCGAAATCTTATCCATCCACCCTACCTCTTTTCAGAGTGAGGTTGGTGTCGCACTAAATGTGAAATAGGCTCGTGTTGCAACAGCAAATGGGGTACTGGATGTCAAAATCTTTAAGTTTTTGGAAGTGATAGGAGGCACTTATGAAAAATCTAGCTACTGAGCAGCGATGTGGTACTCGCGGCTGCGTCATCTGTGAATATACTCAGAATATACCCTCTATTTCTCTCATTAGAGAGGTACTAATGGCACGGACATTCGACAAATCTCGTCGTTGGTGAGCACTGAGCTTCACCGAGCACGAAAAAATTACTGGGAACAATCTGGACTTTATTGTTTACGGCGAAAATGTCAAGGTATATTTAACCCAGACCTTAATGGAACAAGAGGTGGGGGTCAAGCTGGCAGTTGATAGTAATTGGAGAGCTTTATGAAGCCGTAAAGTGTGCTGATAGCTCTGTGCAATTAACATACGCGATTGTCAAAACAAAAGACTTTACGCAGATTCATGGTAGGTATCACATTCGGATACGATATCCGTTCGTCTTGCGATAGGGACACTGGTAAAACGTGAAAGGTTCTATAGAACCTCCAAATAAAGTTTCACAGTCATCATCACGAAGAACAATGTCTTGCCTTAGACCTAGATTTCAAATTAAATCTTACTCTTGAAAGGCGTGGCTGGAACGCATCGAATCATGGGTCGACTGGAAGTTGTGAAAGCTAAGTGAGACGCACTTTTCTCTTAGTGAAGCATTGACAACTCACAAATCTTTGATGTCTTACTGCATGTATTCGAACGTCTGCATGTAAATTAAGGTCACATAACGCGCAGTTGTTGCTGAGTTATTACAATTTTAGTGCCGTTAAGATGGTGTTTAACAGCTGCGTCATCAGACAAACTATCGTTAACTTTTCTGTCGCAAGAGTTTTACCAAATGCAATGGTATTATCGATCAACTTCCGCCGAAATAATTTCGATACACAATTGTCATGTGAGCAACGCGCAGTATATGAGTTCGTAAGCTCCACCAAGCCTGGAATAGCACAAGAGGATATTTGTGACATTTGGACTAATACTAAATATGTACGACTTACTATTTTTCACAAATAGCTGTCTATCCTTTCTGATGTGCAATTACCACACCCGGACTCCTCGTAATACTATATATATTTTTCTGGTAAAATAAAAAAATGTTGCAGATAAACAGAAAATAAAAACAATATGCAGATATTTGAAAAATAAAAAAATACCATGTGTACTAAACCTGCCATAGAAATGTAGTGTAAATTTCGTACAAATGCACAATACTATTTTTAGCGGAATTGTACCGGAGCGCATCTTCAAAGATCTCATGAAAAACATTCAGATCTTTATTTGACGGATCAGAGCGGCCGGATCATCGAATTTTTCCATTTCTGATCCCATGCAAATACAATGCCATCCTACCCTGTTTGCCAACCAGTCGTTCAACGATTTTGAGTCATCCCTGCTTTTGTCTCAGTATGATAAACTGACTCTAGCTATGCCCATATTGGTACAGGAAAATCATGTTCTTCGTGTGTTGTCAGGCTGTTGATACCTAGCGAAGTGTAAGGCGCAGTCAGGATGTATGGTATTAGATAGAGCACTACGTCTCAAAGATAAATGGTTTTCTTCCTTATTGAGGTAATATATTAGAATTTGTCTAAATTTCAGAGCTTGAAATATCAATTGAGCGAATTGCTGATCATGCAAAGAATAGGATCTTGCAAAGGGAAGAAGAGAATTTTCTTGAATTCCGCCTGATAATCAATTGTGCCATCGTACTGTTAAGTATAAAATTCTTACATACCAGTTTAGTGGTCTCAAACAACTTAAGTATAAGTATATGATTTGCTTATCAAAGTGAGAGACGATCTGGACTGTAATGCAGCTGAACCACTCATTTCTCAGACTTCGATTGAAAATCCGAATACCCCAGGTAAAGTGCTATACTATAATAAGGTATATTTTGTGCAATTATGTACAAACACATTACTCTTTTGCGCAAAAATATAATTTGGTAAGCAATGCAAACTTACCACTAAGTTTAATAGTGAAAACGGGACAACTTGTGTGGAGTACACATATGGTACAATGATACAAAATTCTCATTAGACTTGCTGAAACTGTAAATATCATTACTACCAAAATTTCGGTATATACAGATTGAAAATCGAGATGGGAAGGGTACAATCATATTGACATACTATGTCCGTATCAAAAATATTGAGCTTTAAGTGTAGACTCCATCCAGTACGACATTTTCAAATCACTGCGACACTGTCAATGGTTCATTTATGTTTTCTTATGCATGATCTTGTTGAAAATATGCGGATCGTACACGATGCATATAAAGGCCTTAATCAAAATTTGATTTCTAATTCCTCAGTTGTCAATTTGCTTCGCAGGACCGAGAACTAACTCGAAGGTACTCATGTATTTGTTCAAGTTTTTTGGGATTGTCGTGTGGATTTTGCTGTCTATAGTCGAGGTGGAGTCGAAGGCTGCTGCTTTTGGAAAAAGTTCAAGTCCCGATAGCCTGCCTCCGTTAACGGAAGCTACTCTAGATTTCCTCAAAAAACACAATTTGTTTGAAAATAAAGTACTTCTCGGCTATTTGAAGAAGGGAACGAAGATTAAGGACCTTGAACATAAGTTGAAAGAACCTCAACTCTACGACTACATTATCTACCTGAATAAAGCGATAGATGCACACGATAAGCGCGAATCACCCTTGGGTGATTTGGTGAATCGGCTGGCAATGAAAGATTTACATTTTATAAGGCTGAAAAACAAAGAAAAGGTTAACAACTGTGTGCTCCCATTTCCATTTCTTGCCTTTTTACTTTTGATGTCAAATTTGCTAATACAATCGTATATGAAGAAATATAGCGCCACCTGCAAGTTAGTGCACAGGCGATCCGTACCCGTGGCATTCATTGTTTAGGCTTTATTCGCTGCTAAGTCAGGCAATGAACACAATTAAATTACTAACTAATGGAAGTCAACGCTTATGACTTTGCTTCATAGCGTCACAACAAGATATATTTGTAAGTTTAAGACAATCGTGTGCTGTATCCATCTCTAAGCATACCGTTTTCCCAAAGTTCGATGGATGCATGTGCAAAGCTGAATGAAAAGTAGAATAGATCTCGACTGTTACTCATAACTCATGTAGGTAGCAAAGGCGTAATGAAGACTCATTGCGTTTTCCAATTTGATGAATGGTTCTATGTATCGAGTCGCAAAAACGATAACTTCTTTAAAAGAAGGCTTAGTTTATGTAAGTATTAAAGAGGTTGTGCGAATAGTCTAACCGACTACATACATCAAAAACGTCTATAATTTTCGACCCGATCGCAAGTACTTTACAGTCTGTAACATTTTCATTCGACTAGGCCTTTTACCTCACTTCCAACCATGTGAGCTTCCTAAAGAGATCACGGGATGCACGTAATTTGTAATTCAAACTCAACAAGCGTAAGATATGAACACTTTTATCTATATTTAAGATCTAAGCGGCGAAAATTATATCGTTCGGGCGCACCATGAGCCCATGACTAGGAGGACAGTCAAAATACTTTACCCCTTTGATCGATCCGTTGTTCTTACC